TGTGTGTGTGTGTGCGCGCAGGACATTTAAAACCTTGTACTTCTCATGTAGAGCGACAAAAACAGCAACAGTAGGTCGACTGTTAGTAATACACACGTAACTTTACAGGCACCAGTCATTAAAAAAAACAGAATTAAAAGAATGAATTGTCCAAGTTCTACAAAAGGTAACTAAACAGCCTTGTTTGTGTGATAATGTGAATGCTCGATTAAAGCTATTTCCACAAATCTAAAAGTCAACCTTCTTTTTAAATGTTCTCACGACGTAACAGTCACCGAACCTAAATGATAAAATCATGACTAGCACCTACTGGAACAGCCGACTCGTCTTTAGTGCAACAATCAATCTCTTCCACATTCAGCGATCGGATTGTACCTCTTGGTATTTGTGTACTACAGAAAGCAGCGAGGCAGACAGTGTGTCAGTCTGACAGACATCAATTCAACCAGCTCCACTCTGGAGATTTGGTGACGGCTGTTAGCATGTGAGGTTTTCTTTTTTTTTTAGTTGGCTCCGGGGTCCCTCCACCCTCCGAACGTCTTTTCCAGGTAAAGAGCCACCTCGAGGGTCAGGTGGTCCTGCAGCTTCCCAGCAACGACCTGCACGCCCAGTGGGAGGCCTTCCTCACCCAGACCCAGAGGGCACTGCGTGACCGGCAGGCCGAGGGTGTTGATTATAGCTGCGGATAGAGAAGATGAAGTGGTTTAATGCTGGACTGGAGCGCTATCTGACACTGGAGGTCGGCAGATGTCTTGTAACTGGAAATATTGTGTATATTTGATCTCTACTGCAACCAGAATCAGTTCCCTTGAAGCTAAATCAGTTTTGTTCTGCCAGAATTCACTGGCCATTGCCAAATAATGTGTAATAATTGAGAATTAAGAGCCATTTTGCTTCTTAAATCCTGCTAAACTTAACAAAGACTGTAGGAAATGTTCAAAGAATAACTTAGCTGTAACACCTGAGTGCGGAACTGACCTGTGTAGGCAAAGTCTGTGGGTCTGAAGATTGTGTGGTGGTGTTTGGGAGCCACTCTCGGGTGCGACGGGTAGAGAAAAACACCGTCGGTCCCCAGCAGCTCCTCCACATCCTTCTGCAGCTTCTCCTTCTGCTTTATGATGTAGGGCGAGGGCTTGAACACGCGGAACATATCGTGCAGGCCCATAACTGAAGACAGTCACAGTTCGGTTAATGGAAAATCTTATAGCTACTTTATTGCCTTTATTTTGACAGAGCAGCTGAAGAAAGTAAAGAAGGGAGAGCTGCAGGCGGTAATCGAACCCGGGCCACTGAAAATAGGGTCCTACTAAAAAGAGATACGTTCCCAGTGAAGTATAAATACAGCGTCTATATATGTTATAATTGTATGCCATATAATTCAGAGCTGCCTACTTTCTCTGTGGTTGCTGAAGCCAATAGGAGCGAGCTAACAATGCAAACATTGTGAATGAATGCAGCCTAATAATCGGCTCAGTCAAGCCTTGTTAAGTTTCTGTTTATTTACAGCAGCAGCCTGTAGTGTAATGATGTTGAGCTACTTCAGCATCGTTGTTGCTCTCGCTAACATTTCGGGCTCGATAGGAAATAGAACCTGAAATAAAAACTTTTCAAAAAGGGAAATAAGGATGTCTATAATAAAATATCCAATAAAACCAAATTATTATGAAAATAACAATGATAAACCTTTCATAATGAGTTGGATATCAGTCATTTTTTTTATTATTTCACAAATTACTGGTTTCACAGAACTTATTCATATAACTTATTTAATAATGTATATTTTTCTTTATTTAATTTGAACACTGCATCATATTGCAGCTTTATTAAGCAACAATTAACATTTCCCTGCACCCATCAAATTTAAATCTTGAAATAAAAATGAAAGTCAAAGTTAATTGATAAATACCAGCTCAAATAAATAATAAAAGTTTTTTCCCATCTTACCGATAGCAGGAATCGTATGATCTGATTTTCCCACCATCCATTTCAGCAGCTCCCACAGAGGCCATGCGGGTCGTCCTGGTTCCCCCATCAGCTCAGCAAACGGCTTCGGAGGCTAAGGGAAGGACAAATTTAAACAGGTTATTGTCTCTAAGGTCACATAAAGTCCACTGAGTGTGTGTATTATATTTCAGAGGCCCACACACTGCTGCTGCGCCGTTCCCATTCACCAACAAGTCATGTGGGGACCAGTTGCCACCAGACTCCTGGCTGTTGTAGAGGGATTATTATGCTGTAACAGTAAACTGTGCTAGTGTCCTTACTGTACTGTGAGTGTGTTGTCTCAGTACCAGGGGTTCATTTAAAAACAGGTCCAATGTGTAACATTCAGGAGGATCTAAAACATATATGTTATATAGGGATGTTTTTATTAATGAATAATCACCTGAAAACGAGAATCGTTATGTTTTCATGGCTTTAGAATGAGTTGTTTTTATCTACATTGGGAGCGGGTCCTCTACCACGGAGGGCTGCCGTGTATCTACAGTAGCCCCAGGACGGGGACCAAACCAAGGCCTCTTAGTTTTCTCCCGCTAACACGTTTGGTTTAGGCGAGTGGTCTCAGTTGCAACTAAATCCTACACACTGGACCTTTTAAGTTGAAGTACAGGAGTATTATTAAAGTACTTAAAAGCATCAAGTGCCCATTCTGTAGATTGATATATCATTTTATATTCAATTATTAGTCACATTTTACTGCTGTAGTTAGTTGAGGTGGAGCCAGTTTAAACTACATTATTACAGTTGTGGTAGCAGTGAGTCGAGTGGTTGTCAACCTAAGGGTCAGACCACCTCCAGAGGGTGTCACAATGTATCCGAGGGGTCATGAGATGATTAATGGAAAAGAATAGAATCAAAACAAATTTCTTCTACTTTGGTGAAGTATTGAACCTCAAAATGTTATTTAATTTAAACCATCTGAGACGATTTTTTTTGTAAGAGATCCACTGGAAAGGCTGTGCTACACTAAATGGAACAGAGCCTTTATTAATAGCATCGGTAACACCTGTTTCTACCCGACTACTTCATGTCAAAAATGGCTGCTGTGAAAAAAGTCTATTACTGTCTTAAATTGAATACAGACTTGCAGTTAAATATTTCATACCAAGAAACCATGAATTTGTAATAGCATGGCAGTAGTAATAAGACTAACTGAAGTGTGTGTGTGTGTGTGTGTGAGAGGATATGCTGCGGCCTGGCAGCTCAACAGATTAGTGAACCTTTTCCGGGCAGCAGACTACAATAGGTGCTGTGACTAAGACTCAGCCCTGTTTTCTTTCACTTTCACGTCTTATTGACAGAAGCAAAGCAACTAATGTTTGTTTATCTTTATTCTACAACCAGAAAAACTACTCAAACACTGTCAAACACATTTGTCTTTTGTCCAAACACTGTTCTGTACAGACGTGCAGGGTCACACTGCTCTGGGTCAGGTGGTCCTACCTTGCCCTCATCGTCAGGAAGACCCAAGTAGGTGTCCCAGATCCTGAAGCCGTAGCGGAGCTCAGGGAAACGCACTTCTTGGACTTTCACTCCGAGGTCGGCCTCCAGACGCTCCACCACCTGCAGAACATTTAGATGGTTTTAACTCTAAAAAACCTTCCAGTTCCTCCTCGTTTTGCAGTGTTTGAGCGATGGATTCAACAAACCTTGCTCTGAATCTCAACCAGCTCTCTGGCGACGGGGTACGTGGAAGGAGAGCCGCCATCGTCAGGGACGGTGAAGAACCGCAGCTTCTTTAGGTCGACCTTAGTGTTTAAGGACAACCTGTGTACACGTGTAAACAGATAACTTTAGAGTGAACAACAGAGTGAAGTTGGTGAATTTAGAGTTTAAATATGACACTGAAATGAAGCACGGCAACTTCTGCATTTTACTTTCTGCTAAACTTGTTTTTTTGCACGTCTGTTTTCTTTCTGCATTCATCAAGTAGTTTACAACAAGTCTGTCTGGTTAAAAGGGTTTAGTGGATCTCAGTTGAAATGCTTGAATGAGAAACCTCACAGTAGGCTTTTAAAGGATATATATTCCCTCCCGTTGCCTGCAAGTAAGCCTCTGATAGCAGTGTGTGGTGCGTCAGCTATGAGTCAGGCCTCCAGACCGCGACCATTTAGCTGCATTTTGCAACCATTTTTGGATTGCTTGAACATTATTTTGGCCACAGCACAGGTTAAAATATAATTTAAAATTTCCAGGACAACAAACATTATTTCCAGGATATTATACATTTATTAAAACATTTTCAGGTGTTGTTTGGAAAGTCTCTAAAGTTCCAGGTTTTCCAGGATGCATGAGAACTTTGCCTGTTAGCTGTTTTTTAGGGCATTTTCAGTGCTGTAACTGCATCCTTGCTGGGCTCACAAAATCAGCACTTGTGCCCAAACAACAGTGGACCGATCAGCGCCCTATGAGGAACACTAGGTGTGTGTGTGTGACGACGTGTGTGAGTGAAGTGACTTAGTGCAAAAACAACAATGGCAGCTAGCTAGAACCAGTTATATCAGAGACTATTTCTTCATTAACAGAAGAGCAAACAAAGGCACGACAGTAAAAGCTTCTCTGGAGCACTGAGGGTGTATCTGGAGGTTTAAAGGAGCAGACACTGGCAGAGCTCTTACATGTGAGTGTTGGGTTCTGCCATGATCTTGAGCATGGGCAACAGGTCCTCAGAGTAGCGGCACATGGGACCAAGGCTGAGGTACTCCTTGTCCCTGCCAGAGGCAGGAGGGTACTGGTTCTCACAGGTGATGACACCTGCAGAAACACAACACAGTCACAGTGAAGTCTGGTATATAAATGCGTTCTTTAAACCTTCAATAACTGTGGGGAAAATACAGCTGAATTAATATAACATTTACTTTCTCTTACCAGCAGTGGTTTTATGGCCAAATACTCCGTTGAAGAAACACGGCATACGGATGCTGCCGCCGATGTCCGAGCCCACGCCGATGACCGAGCCCGCTGCTCCAAGTATACTGCCCTCCCCACCTGAGGCAGGCGGAGGAAAGAGGAGATAAACAGAGAGAGGAGGGAGATAAGTTGGTGGATTTAACTTCTCCATGCTTTCCCCGCCAGGTTAGGTTCTTTAACATGTGAAGGACTTAAGCATATTTTATATGAATGCAACTTTCCCAACTCCAACATTAAGTAAATACAGTAAGAATGAGAAAGAAGCCTACGTTTCACAGTTCTTATTGTGGTCTCTAAGTCATTTTCCATCGTTTGTTGCACTGCCACTTCTTTATGGTATGTTCCATCATATTTCACCTAAATCTGCACAGCTTGAGACTTTGTCATGACTTGCAGTTTTTCCACCGTGGGGCGTAAAGCGTAGCAGCACCCATTTACGTGCAGTTTGACTGACATTAAATACAGTCCTGTGTTGACAGCTGAGCATTCCCTGCTTTCTTCAAAGAAAAGAGAAAAGTAGTTTGCCCTTTAAGGAACCAGAGCCTCTGTGTGTGTGTGTGT